TACTGACTTTCGGGTTTCAGAACATGCTGCCCAGTCTGAGTCCGAGAAGCCTTTGAGTTGTAAGTCAGAATTTGTAGCACATAGCAGTCCTTGCCCAGGCGATCCCTTGATGTATCTTAAAACTCGGTGTGCGGCAGCTAAGTGAGTATTTGTCGGAGCATTTACATACTGACTAAGTTGTTGTACAACGAAGGCAATATCTGGACGGGTGGCAGTGAGATATAGCAGCCTTCCTACCAACCTTCTGTACATACTAGCATCTGGAAGAGGGGTCCCTTCATTAGGCAGTAATTTCGTCCCTTGGATCATGGGTGTGCTTGCTGGTTTGCTATCAAGGAAGCCGACTTCCTCCAAAATTTCCAGAGCATATTTTCTCTGGCATAAGCTCAAACCAGCTCTTTCTTTGTGAGCCTCGATACCCAGGAAGTAACCCAAAGGCCCTAAGTCTTTGATTTTGAATGTGATGTCCAGCATATGTTTGAGAGTTTGGATGAGCTCCATACTTGCACTAGCAACTAATATGTCATCGACATAAACGAGTAATGCTATGAAATTATTCACACTGTCACCTTTCATGAATAAGGAGGGATCCGCAGCAGATTGTCGGAATCCATCAAGAATTAGAGCAGAGGTGAGCTTGGCATTCCACTGCCGGCTCGCTTGTTTCAAACCATATAGGGACCTCAATAATTTGCACACTTGATTTGGCTTCTCACTTTCAAAACCGGGAGGTAACACCATATAGACATCTTCATTGAGGTCTCCATGAAAGAACGCGTTGTTTATATCCAATTGATGGATTTGCCAAGAGTTTGATACAGCCACACTAATGAAGGTGCGGATTGTGGTTAGCCTGGCCACTGGTGAGAAAGTTTCGAGGTAATCAACACCAAGCTGCTGTGTGTATCCTTTTGCGACGAGTCTCGCCTTGCATCGTTCAATTGTGCCATCTGCTTTTAGCTTCACCTTGTATACCCATTTGCAGCCGATTGGCACCTTCCCCACAGGTAAGTCAGTGAGCTCCCACGTGTTATTTTCTTGGAGAGCAAGAATTTCAGCAGTCATGGCCCTTTTCCAACAGTCATACTGTACTGCTTGTTTGTAAGTTCGTGGCTCAGTGATGGAAGTCACAGCCATGGAGAACATCTTGTGTGATTCTTCAAGGTTGTCATAACCAATCACCTTTGATAAACTATGAGGAGAAGTCTTATTTTGTATGACATTGTCACAATAATATCCATCTAATCTGCTAGATGGTTGCCTCTGCCTGTTAGATCTTCTAAGTTGCATGGGATCAAGAAACTGTTGGCTTGAGTCATTAGGGCTGCTAGCAGTGGCTTCAGTGTCGTTGGGAGATTGGTGTTCTGATGTGGATACAGTCTCTTCATCATTGTGTTGATTGGAGTGATGACTGGGATTCGAGATGGACAACTCAGCATTGCTATCATCGTTTTGAGGAGCCATGTAAGCATGCGAAGGGGATGAATCTGCTTGTATTTGATGTGTATTATCCGCAGTCATTTGAAGTCCAAAGTCATCACAATCTGTTGTGAGAATGTTAGGCAGAGAAGGAAGCATAATATCTGAATCTGCTTCTGTTGAATGAGCCATCGGGAATTTATCTTCATAAAAAATGACATCATGAGATATGATTATAGAATTATCAAGCAGATCATATAGAAGGTACCCTTTCACTCCTGCCGGAATTCCAACAAAGATGCATCTTCTACTCCTAGGTGCCATCTTATGCCGTGAAGGGGATGTGACAGCCGCATAGCAAAGACAGCCAAAAGTTTTCAGATTAGTGATGTCTGGACCTTTCCCAAATAGCTTTTGATGAGGACTTGACCATCCAATAACAGCCGATGGAAGCCTGTTTATGAGATAGACAGCATGAATGACACATTGCCCCCAAAACTGGAGAGGGAGATTGGCCTGGAATCTGAGAGCACGAGCCACTGCTAGTATGTGTTGATGTTTCCGTTCCACTACGGCATTTTGCTGGGGTGTGTGTATGCATGTCTTTTGATGGATCATGCCATTATTGTTGAAAAACTCTTCCATCTTGAATTCAAGACCGTTATCACTTCGCAGTATCTTGATAGCTATCCCAAATTGAGTGAGCACCATTTTATGAAAGTTCCTTATGCATTCTCTTGTCTCAGCTTTACTCTTCATTAGTCTCAGCCATGTATATCTGGAGTGGTCGTCAACGATAGTTAGAAAATATCTCTCACCATCTAAAGATCTTACTTGAAACGGACCCCAGATGTCCATGTGAACAAGATCAAAGCATGCTTTAGATACAGAATTACTTAAGGGAAAAGAGGATCTTCTATGTTTGGCAAGGTGACAGATATGGCAAACCAGATTATTTGTATTAGGAACAGAGATATTTTCAATGAGATGCATCTTATTTATAGGGAAATGCCCCAATCTTTGATGCCACAATTCGACACTATTACACTGCATATCAAACATATTACAACTGTTATTGCTAATCTTTGGAGGTTCATTCAGCAAATAGAGTCTGTTTTGCTCCTTAGCAAAGCCAATCGTTCTCCCATGGTCCTCCCGAAGAAGACACTGACCACATTCAAACAATAAAGAGTGAGGAGAGTTTTGCAATAATCTGTTAACCGAGATGATATTGAATTTGAATGAAGGTATATATAGAGCATCCTTCAACCAAACATCATTGGCCAATTTTATATCTCCAACGTGTTCAACAGCAACATAACTCCCATTTGGCAGATTTACCTTTGCTCCACTCACAGAATGATATTTGTCAAAGAAACCAAGGGAACACACTATGTGGTCTGTGGCACCCGAATCAATTATCCAGGCATATGAATTTAACACTGCAGAATTAATACTCAGATGTTTAACATACTTGCCTTCGTTGCTTGGAGTTTCTTGGTTGAATCTTGGAACCAGAGTTGCGGCTGCAGTGGAAGGGGATTGGTTCTGCATCATCTGACTTTGAAGGAGAGATATGAGGCTTCGAATCTGCTCAGACTGCTCAGAGTTAGAGCTACATTCAGAAGTAGATCCGACTGCTGCGACTTGCTGTTTGTTTCTGGACTTGAAGCCTGGCACCCACCCCGGTGGGTACCCATGCTTCTTGTAACACTTCTCAATGGTATGCCCTGTCATACCACAAAAGGTGCACTTAGCACTGTTCTTATTTCCGCCTTGCGAGTTCATCATCCTCTTCCCATTAGAGTAATTCACAGCAGCAGATGTTTCTTCTCTGGTGTTCTGTCCGTTTTGGACTGCGTTGATCTGTATCATCTCTGGATTCACCATAGTCAGGTTCGTGATGGTGAGTTGCCTTTCAAATTTTTCGGCCATAACAAAGACCTTATGCATATCAGGTAAGGGATCTAGGACCAGTACTCCGGACTTCAGAGTATTGTAATCCTCGTTTAGCCCCTGCAGAAACTTGATGATCTGGTCGATCTCACGATCCCGTCTGATTTCGTCAAGGAGATCGCTAGAACATGAGCATCGCGGATCGCACTTGCATACCGGGAGAGGTCTCAATGCGTTCATCTCTTCCCAGAGGGTGCGGCTTTTTGTGTAATAGTCATTGACACTCATATGGCCTTGTTTCAAGTTGGAGATGTCACTCTGTAGGAATGAGATTCTGTGTGCGTCGTGCTGAGAGAAACGTCTCTTAAGATCGCTCCAGATGTCCTTAGCTTTGTCCATATGCATAACGCTCTGCGCGATTGAGGAAACAACAGACTTAAGGATCCAGGAGCACACGATCAAGTTACATCTTCTCCACGCAGCGTATTGTGGATTGGATCTTTCCGGCGGTGTTAGGGTTCCGTCAATCAAACCCCACTTGTTCTTGACCTCTAAGGCCACCTGCATGGAGATCCGCCATGAAGCGTAGTTTGCGCTTCCAGACAGCGGAGGACTCACCAATACTGCGTTCGGACTCTCATTGACGTTGAGGTACAGCGGATTCTCTAGATCGTCCATGTTCCTCTGCGGAACAACAGAGCTTCTCTGTTGATCAGGTTCGTAAGGTCTTGCTGTCGCGTTCTGGTTGATCGGAGGTTGGTGAGCTCCCTGGCTGGTTTGACCCGGTCCGGTAACTGCGGCGGCATAGCTGCCATACCGGAGCTCTGATACCATATTGGATTTTAGGAGGGAAGGCTATGCACGAATGAGGTTGTTAAAAGAAGTAACTGTTTCATTAGCTTTACAAAGAGGAAGAAGACAGCTATATATACAGAGATGGTTCTCATGAAAGAAGAAAGATGGCGGTAAAAGTGGTTGTAACCACTTGGATGAAAAAGGCAAGATTGCCCTTGCTTAAGTGCTGGCTTGTCTAGTGTGCCTTTCGTGCTTCTTCTTCAATATTTTCCGTTATTACAAAATATTTTAAATTTAAAACCAATAAATCTCTAATTTTTATTTTTGATACAATAGAAAATGAAAATACCTACATGCTAGAAGCATGATAAAATCACACCAATACAATTGTATTATGTATCAAGAATTGGCGAATTTAAGGGTGTGCCGCTTACGACTGTATCAATCATTACTTAGTCTAACATTATGCTTAATTCTTAATAAGCCGTTGCCTACCTTTAGTTAGGTTAAAAGAGATTCGCGTTGTCACTTTCGGTCGCGTTGTCGAACGACCTTTTTTCTAGTACGTTTTATTTAATTTTATGGTGTGATTTGTAGGCTATTTCCTCTGTCTTATTTTATGTATTTGGTTTGGTTAATGAGACTTGACTGAAGTTATATTTAGTTCAATTTTTCATAATATTAAATTTAATTCAGTATATAAAATTTATGTATTTATAAGCTACGCTAAAAGTATTATTAAATACAAAAAAAATTAATTTAAAAAATAATTAAAAATTATGCATAAAGAAAATAAGTAAAAAAGAAAGAATTTAGTATCGGTGGTTAGTAAACAAGACAAGTAGAGGATGAAGTCTACATTTTGAATTGTAAATAGTAAACAAGACAAGTAAAATGAGACACAATGAGTATTATATAGGAATGATAAAATTCACTCTTAAGAAATAATTGCAAGTTTCTCTAGTAAAATTAAATATATATAACATTGTAGAGGATGAAGTCTAGAAATTCACATGAATGAGACCCACATGAAGTCTAGGAGCAAACAACTAACGTAACTGCAGACACAACTACCTTATTGGAGACAAACAACTAGTAGGTAATATAAGCTTCACATAACATAACATCATGATATATATATATATATATATATATATATATATATATATATATATATTAAATATTAAATGCCACAGAAATCCTTGAGTAAATTCTTGGATCTCCTGCCCTTGTCTGAGTCGAAGAATTTGATCATGTCAAGATGCACGAAAGGCTTAAACTGCAATGGATGTTCATCATCCACTAGCTCTTCTGGAACCTCTATAGTCTTGCTGTTCTTCAAGAAACTGAATATTCCCACACTGTATCTTTTTTCCTTCCCATTGGCATCCATTGTTACCTTGTGAATGGGTGCCAGCACTCGACTATTGCTCCACCCCTATATATATTTTTATTTTTATAGTTATATTTTAGCATGCAATATAATATAATAATCAAACACCCACACAAAACTTAATTATCATCAATAATAACATACAATATCATTGTCAAAAAGCGTCAATTTAATTTCGTTCAGTTTTATGGCCACCCCAAGAAGTGAATGAAAATTGGGAGTTTTTCAATGTTTCTGACCTTTATTTTAGGTTGTCCAAACATTATATATTACATTATTAATTTTGCATTACAGCCACAGGTCATGGGATTTCTTTGTTTATGGAAAAGTCCACTGTACTGTTCCTATCTGAAAGCGCGCTTTGAGTCAAGCCCACCTCGTAACCTTAGTTAAGGACCATAAAAGAGGTAAATCAGTCTAAATTGCAATCTGTTTAAATTAAGAAGCCCAATAAATTAAACAACTCTCATAGCGAGTCAAAGGTGGGACATTGCGGTTACTAAGTCAACTAACAAATACTTATGATGACTTACTAGTATCGGTGGTTAGTATTTTCATCCACTTTTTCAACTACCCAAAAAATACTGAGGCCCAAAAATCCAGCTTTAGTAGGATAACTCCACCCGTTCAAATAAGAGTTTTAGTACATGTACTCTCGATGTGATCAATAATACCGATCTGATCTCCAAGGAGGTTGACCAGGCCACTTGAAGTCTGGGATTTTCCAATTAAATGTGCATATATATATATATATATATATATATATATATATATATATATATATATATATATATATATAAATTAAATATGGTGGCCTGGGAGATTACCTTGATTGCTTCGCCGGCCATGACAATGAAGGAAGAGGGAGGAAACTGTGCAGAAATCCATTCGCCATTTCTTGCTTGTACTTCCAACCCTGAAACTTGATTCAGCTGATAAAGGACCGTCATGAAAGTTTTGTCGGTATGACAAGGAAAAACAACGTTGTTTTCATCCGATTCTGCAGGGACTTCGTATTTCATGTATCGAAGAAGATACGCCGTCGATTCAACGTACGAATCGTAGTGTTTCTCCACACCATAGCTCTCGAATAACATCCGCAACACCTTCTCCTCTAACTCCGCTACAATCTTCGAAAATGACTGCGAACTTTCACTTCAAAAACACAAAACACAAAACACAAAATTATATATATTGTCAGATCAAGCGTTTACCACTAATAGATCAGAGTACACATTTATTAATATTTTATATATTTATTCTGAAGTGATAGAGTACCTGAAAGAGTGGTTTCCGCCGGACCACATGAGATTGGAAAAGCTTTGGACACCTTCAATGGTGGTTGCATGGTCGATCCCAAAGGCTTCATGATAGGGTATAAAAGGGATCTGGCCGACATAGCCATGGTAGGGTTTTTCGTTGGTGTTAAGGATTTTTTTCTCAAAAGGGAGGTCAAACAATTGTTGGGATGCATGGAAGATTGAGTTGTGAAGTTGGGGGGAGACTTTATCACAGAGGACTATGAAACAGCCATGATCTTCAAGGGCTGTCCTAATGTCCTTGCATGCATGAGCCCATGAAGTTGACCCAGGTTTCAAGTCTTCATTGTTGAAGTCTACAACAAGAAGCTTGGTTGGAGTTTCAAGGGATCCCATGTTTTTTTTTTTCCTTAATTCTATGTATATGTTTACTGTCACCAAGGTTTGATTGGGAACAATTTGGATTTGTGGTTTGCTTCTACCAGCTTTTATAGCCTGGCTTCTCCAACTACATATATGACAATATTTCGTGGAGTTAACATTTATGGAATATCTTATTTGCCTAAATAACTTAAATATTAGGTTGTATTTAAATGGGACTGGACTGGGTTCTATCTATTTAAAATGAGGAACTAGGGCTGAGCATCGGTCGGATTCGGACGGATCGGATGTCCAATCCGTCCATCCGATCGGATTTCGGATTTCTTTTGTACCCCCTATCCGTTTATTTTTTTGGACAGATCCTATCGGATTGCATAGGTTCGGATTTCGGATATCCGTTGTCGGATTTCGGATTGAAATCGGATATAATAAATTAAAATAAAACAAATTCTAAATTCTAAAAATTCTAAAATAGATAATAGTAATACTGAGTTTCATTACCATAGCGTAGCAACTAGCAAAACATACTACTATACAACTATAACAGTTTCAAACTAAGTTAATAATTACATATTTTCGAATTCCAATGATTATACAAAAAATCATAGACTTGAGTTGTCAGCACCGGTACTCTTCAGTTCTTTTTTCAGCAATTCAGCAAAATCAACACTAATATAGTCATCTAGATAATCTACTCTTCTTCCTGCTAGTATTCAAACTTAAAATGATATTAGTGTTTAGAGTTTAGAAAACAGACAATCAGACATTTAGAGTAACAATACTAAGCAATTATTCACTACGCTAAGTGGCTCAGAGTGCATTTTTCCATATCAAGTAAGAATGTGGGCAAATTGCTCTGAATGTGTTATATTAACACATTGGCAACATACCAACTCCATTCCATTTATTCAGACAATAGTGGAAGCTTCATCATAGCCACCAAATAAAACAAATACATTCTGAAAACAGAGCAAGGAAGAGTTATACCATAATTCCAGAGTGCAGAGAAATGGGCAAAATTGGGCTCAACTCATCTAATGGCAGCAACAAATCAATAACAGAAAGTTGCCAAGCCACTTAGAGGCTAAACACCACTTGCAACAACATGAGTACATAACATAATATCAAACTCAGTAAAGAAATGAACACATTGTAAACTGATATTAAAAACATTACAGTGATTGTAGGCAACATTGATGGTATAGTAGATGAAGCTCCAGTGGGCAATTCTGCAAAAGTGAAAAACATAATAAGTAAGAAAGAAAGTGAAAAGGAAATAAACTTAGTATAATAAAAAAAAAAAAAAGTAACTAAGAAAGTGATAAGTGTTACCTTTCTCTAATCTTTCAACCTCCTCCAGGTTCTCCTCAACTTGGATTGGCTTATTAGGTGCCCTCAACCAATCTTGAGTACATATTAGTGCTTCCACTATTTTAGGAGTCAAGGAACTCCTAAATGGATCAAGTACCCTTCCAGATGTACTAAAACAACTCTCAGAAGCAACTGTGGAGATAGGAACTGCAAGGACATCTCTAGCCATTTTGGAGAGAATAGGAAATCTCTCACTATGGCTCTTCCACCACTTTAACACATCAAATGGGACAGATTCATCATCCTCCACAAGACTTTCACTTAAGTATACTTGCAGCTCAGTTTGCTTACTACTTCCACTACTTTCCAATCTCTTTTTTTTAAGTTGGCTCTTCAAAGATGATTGAGGCCTACCAACTGTACAAGTAGTAGCCTGGTTAGCCTCACACTGGACTGCTTGAGTAGAGGATGCTGTCTGGGTAGAACTGAGAGAGTATGTAGCTGCATAGTCATCATATAAAGCAGCCATTGCAGATTGGACCTTGGTAAAACAAGCTTTGCCTTTCTCTTCTCCATACAACTGGACAAATTGATGAGGCATGTACTCCAACTTATCTCTTGGATCCAGAATATTGGCAAAAAAAATGATAGAGTTCATTTTTTCGGGATCCCCCCAATATTTGTCAAACTTGTTCCTCATTTGTGTCCCCATTGCCTAAAACAGAAAAAAAAAAAACAATTTATTAGTTAACAGAATTACAGGAAATACAAAAAACAATAAGCAAACAAATTGAAAGATAAATGAGATTACCTTTTCAGTCCCCTGCTCAGAGTTCACCATAGCTTCAAGCATGCAACTAAGATCAGAGATCTCAGAGAAGAATGTGTTAGATGTGACATAAAGTGAACCAGAGATCCTCACTATCATATCATAAAATGCTTTCAACAGCTTCACTAAGCTTTCCACAGAACACCAATCCAAGAAGGTAGGAGCACTCCCCAAGTCAGCAGAATAAGAGGGGTCATTTCTCTCATATGCATCAAACACTACTTGATATTGAATTGCAGTGTTGAGCATAATGTAGGTGCTGTTCCACCTTGTAGGGACATCAAGATGCAAAACTGATTTAGCTTCCACACCAAACAGTTTAGCAAACTCTCTGAACTTTGTCAGCCTAGCTGGTGAGTTCCTAACCCATCTCACTGCATCCCTCACCCTCTTAACTGACTCATCTGCAAACTTCAACCCATCTTGGACCACTAAATTGAGGATATGGGCTATGCACCTCATGTGCATGTACTGAACCTTAACAGAAGAAGAACCCCAAGATAACAGTTTACTCATTAGAGGAGGCATTATCCACTGTTACAGTAAACACATTCTTAATTCCCCACTCTAATAAACAACTCTCTAGGGCTTTTGCAATGTACTCCCCCTTATGAGAAGAAACTGGGACAAAGGATATAATTTTTTTTTGAAGCTTCCACTGGTCATCTAAAAAATGTGCAGTAATGCACATATAGTTGATTCTCTGGACAGAAGTCCATGTATCTGTTGTTAGACTAACCCTTTGAGTTCTCACTCTAAACAACTTCTTAAGGTTTAGCCTCTCATCAAGAAATATTTGGTAGATGTCCCTAGAAATGGTCCACCTAGAAGGGATAAGAAACCTAGGACAAGCAACCAGAATAAACCTCTTGAACCCCTGGCCCTCTACAAACCTAAAAGGGAGCTCATCTATGATTATCATCTCACAAAGGGCCCTCCTAATGGCATCTTGATTAAATACCCATGTCCCCAAAACACCCACAGGAGCCTCTGTTCCACCCTCAGAAGTGGACAGAGTGTTGAATGTGAGTAGAGACTGCCTTATATCCTTTGAATGGGGATTTTTAAGACAATTGCCCATATGATTTCTTAATGATGATGTGCCATGTTTTTTAGTTTCACAAAAATACTCTTTTGCACAGTAAAGGCATTTGCCTTTAAGCACTTTATGAGTTTCAGGATCTTTGATCTGTTCAAAGTGCTCCCACACTATGGATCTAGACTCTATTTCCTTCCTCTTCTTAACAGCAGGAACTTTAGGAGTGGCCATAGGCTGTTGAGCACTTGTCTCAATGCTTGGGGTTTGTACTCCTTGTTCATCCACTGTTGAAGATGGAAGAGGTCCAGTTCCACTTCCACTTATATTTTGATTGCTCTCCATCTATAAAGATTTATGGATGAGCAAATAGGATTCAAATTTCACACAAGCACACATAAGGCCATACACTGTCACAGTGATATGTATTCCATAATCAGGATTCATGATTCATGAACTCCTCATTTTATGGAGTCCTGATTTTAGGACTTAATTACATATAAGTATATAACACATTAACAAATTCATTCCATAATCAGGAGTCATGATTCATGAATCATGAACTCATCATTTTATGGAAATGGCCACAAATTAGGGCTTAACACTTCCACAGTCAACCATCAACAATTCAAGTATTCAACAACATTCAACAGTATTACAATTTACAAATTCAGTATGCTTCCAACATGGACATCATAAATTCGTAAGCACAAATTCATAATATCAATAAAAAATTCAGTAGGCTTCCACAGTTCCACACTTCCACCACCACCATACATTTTGAAATAACAAATTTAAGGGTCCTTTAACCATAAACTTACAAACACATATCAGAATAAGCACAAATTCATCACATACCAGAATAAGCACAAATTCATCACGTATGTGGAAACCCCTTAAAATTAGGGTTCAATTACAAATTAGGGTGCATGCAACATCATAGAACTAGAACAGAACAGACAAACTCACAAACATGCAACAGGAAAATAAGAAAAAAATGACAGAGTTACATTTTACTTGTTTTCTCAAAGGTTCCCTCTGAGATCTAGGGCTTCAAGGCGTCAAACTTCCACTTCCACTGTCGTCCGGCTTCTTCCTTCTTGCCGTCTTTCCAGTTTGCACAGAGCCACAGACACTTCCACAAGATTCCCGACACTTCCACAAGATTCCCGTCGAACTGTCGAAGACTCGAAGCCTCGAAGGAGTCGAAGGGGAGTTCAGAACCACAGATACTCTCAGACTCTCAGTTGAGACTCAGAGTTCAGACTTCAGAGAATCAGAGATTCACCGGAGAAGGAGATTAAGGAAGAAGATTAGATGAGAAGGACTGAAGATCGGATGGGGATGGCTAGAGGAGAGTAGGAGACTAAGGAGATTTCGAGAAGAAGCTCTGGGGAGTGGGGAGTGGCCGAGTGGAGAATGAGAGAATGGCAAACCCTAGGTCTACGCAACGTTTTATACTTAGGCCATATTTCGGATCTCGAACGGGTTCGGATGGGATATTTCCTAACCCTACCCGTCCGTCTTTAATAGCCACGTTGCGTGGGGTCGGTTCGGATATGACCCGAACCCGTCGGATTTCATCTCCGTTCGGTAAGCGCTGGTTCGGGTCGGGCGGGTTCTTCGGGTAGTTCAGGTATTGCACAGCCCTATGAGGAACATTATGCTGTGAGCAGGGGTGGAGCCACCTGCATGATGCAGGGGGCCCTGGCCCCCCTACTAATATTTTTTTTTTTAAATAGCATGATGCTTATTTTGGTGTCCTCCTTCTTCCAAATATTTGGTCCCTCTCAATCAATCTTGTAGAGTAAATTTTCTATTTTCTAGACTTTTCACAATATCAATTCTTATATTTTTTCAGGAGTAACCTGGTCATTTTTTCATATATCTTTGAAGTTTTGAATCATTTGATGAATTACTGGTATTGTATATTTTCATTTTTCTTCAAGCAGCATTCTCTGAATAACTGCATTAATGGCGGTTTCGGTCTTCCAAGTCAAAGAAGATGGTGATTACATAAACAAAGAATTAGATATATAAGATAGATATTAATTTGAAACAAAAAATTAATTAAGATTAGCTAAAGCATAGGGTGATTATGTATATATCATATGCATGCACAGTATTAAAAAGAAAATATTAGTCTGCTACTCGATTTTAATTAGTAGATTTGTAATGTGAAAATGTATGTTAGAAATATATTAAAGGAATATTAATATATTTAATTATTCACTCTTAAATCGTAATTGGCCGCCTGTATCATCTAATCTTGGCGGTGAACACGTGCCCACCTTGCAAGGTGGGTACAATTTCATATTTATAATTTCTATATTGTAGATTCATAATTTCTATACTGTAGATTCATAATTTTTATACTATAGATTCATAAAATTTATATTTTCGATTCATAATTTCTAAGCCGTAGATTCATAATTTAAATACAATAGATTCATAATTTCTATACAATAGATTCATAATTTCTATACAGTAAATTCATAATTTCTATACTGCAAATTCATAATATCTGTACTGTAGATTCATAATTTCTGTACTGTAAATTCATAATTTCTAACTGTATAGTTATCAAATTATGAACATATAGTTCTCGAATTTGTGAAAGTAGAGTTCAACAATTAGAATCTAAACTATAAATTTTATGAATCTACAGTATAGAAATTATAGACCTATAATATAGAAATTATGAATCTACAGTATAAAAATTATGGATATGAAACCGTGCCCACCTTGCAATGTGAACACGTGCTCACAACATAATTTGTCTTAAAATGATAATAGAGTTATCATCACAGTATATAGTTGGCAGTACTTGGCACTTTGTATTAAAATTTATTTAAATTATCTAAACTATTTTATACTAAACAATTTTTATTTTTTTAAAACAATTTTTAATTAAATTTGATTTTTCAAGAATGAATTTGATAGGTGAGCTAGCTAGCCAAGCCATGGCCTTAGCAGGGGCAAGGCGGGCTAGCATTTTCTATTTTTAGGGTCACCCTACCTACCAAATGGTGGCAATTTATATCCTGCACCACAGTACGCGTTGCATTGTGCGCCCAAATATAAAATGACGTCGTTTCAGATTATTATTTTTTTGAAATTTCGCTACCCAGTTTTTGGCGGTTAATTTTTCTTAAAAAAAAATTTCATGTTCAAAAATGTACATAATGTTATACATGAATGTACATACTTGTATACATGAATGTACATAATTGTATAACAAAATATACATACTATTTTTTAAAAGATAATACACATAATCTAACATAATACATAATAAACATAAACTTTTAACATAAACACATAACTCTTAACATAATACACAAAAATTTCCTGATTTGGTTGTACATAATTGTATAAAAAAAAATGTACATAATTGTATAAAAAATATACATAATAAAAAACTTACATAATTGTATGAACAAATATACATAATCATAGCAACTTCCTACCGCGCCTCCCAAAACGACGTCGTTTTGGGAGGCGCGCGACGCACAGTGTTACGCGCGCCGTGGTGTAGGATATAACGATTGCCAAATAGTGGGCTTTAGCCTCACGTCGATTTTTTTTTTTTCTTTTAAATTTTATTATTATTATTATTATTATTATTATTATTATTATATTATTATTATTATTATTATTATTATTATTATTATTATTATTATGATGATGATGATGTATACATGGCTTTAAAATAAATGCAGGACCACCAACCCCGGCCCACATCCTCACCCAAATAAATAAGAAGGGGACCAGATGTGTAATTAGTGATGCATATAGATCATGTAATTGATATTGTTTAAATTTAAATTATGAAGATTATGATATATATTCCTCCTAAACATGATATGTTTATATATGACTTATTATCTAATCATTTGTCGTAACCTAAACCAACATAATCATGACTTAGATACCAATACAATTAAGTTGTTATGTACAATGATTAAATAGTGAAAGTTAAACTATAGTGCATTGAAAAAATTAAAGTATGGTAGTACATATCTGATAGAAGGGACATGATTGAAATTAATTATAGGCCATCAATTGAATTATGTGGACATTTATCATTACATAATTATATTAGGAAAAATGGTTAAATACGCTCTTGAAATTTTTTTAAAAAATTAATTAAGTTTTTGAATTTTTCAAAACTTACAATTAAATACATCAATTTATTATTTTTATGTATTTGAACTCAATAGCAAGTTATCCACTAGTAATAATCGGTAATTAGGATTCTGGCAATCAAAATCGACAACCATTGAACGATTGACAGTCACTTTCGTCACTAAATTAAAGAAGGCAATCAATGACCATTCGACGGTCACCAGTTGCCAATTTCAATAACTGGAACATAACCCTAATTACTACTTTACTACTCCGCAGTTATTACCGGTGGATAACTGATTATTGAGTCTAAATACACAAAAATAACATGTTAATATATTTAATTGTAACTTTTAAAAATTTGAGAACCTAATTATATTTTCATATAAAGTTTAAAAGCTTATTTATGACCCTTTTCCTCATTATATTATATTAACATATCACCCATCCATAACCCTTGAAATGTGAATGAGATTGTGTAAATTCTTAGCTCTTAATCAAATGTTTTGAGTTTAAGTGTCATGAGTACTTTGTCACCTTTTGAGGACTAACCGCTACATACAAATGTATAGTTATCATGCAGGGAAGAGAACTTGGAGATAAAATGGGTGAAACTATAATTCCTGAAATTATTTGATTTTCATAGATTTTCAGAATGTAAAAAAAAAAAAAAAAAAAAAAAAAAAGAGACTAAAATTTACACAAATTAAACTTAGCTTGTAAGCATTATATTCCTAAGAATGAAACACAAAATTAATGATGTATTTTGACAAAACATAGATGTGAGGTTGTAGTTGGGGTTGATCCATTTTCCGAGGCCCATATGAGTATCAACTAACGGTTTTGGAAGTTGAAGAGGTTGATGCAGAGAGCAAATATAAGAGCAAAGAGCAGAACAAAAGCAGACAATATGGCTGCAGATTCTCCCAAAAACTCACGTTTATAACCCAAGAAAATCCTGAGGAACCCCTCCACCGTGTTGAATGTCTCTAAAACATCATCAACATCTCCGAACTGAGATACCATCAGCCCATATAGCGTCCACCCAACAGGTGACACCAGAAAATACCATCTCCACCACACAGGAGCATGCTGCATGTACCGTGTACGTATATCATATTATATTATCATTGGTAATTAAGAAAGTGGATTATTGAAAGAAATTAAATGGATCGATTTGGTGGGCGGGTGGCTTACCGGGCGAGGAATCAAGAAGCCAGAGAACACATTCCATATCCCAAATGTAGCAGTTGCCAAGAGGGTGGCAATGTCCAGATTTGGAGTCATGGCCACTGACATCATGCCCAGGAAAGTGGAGTACAAGAATGTTAAGAACATGATGAAAAGGTACCACAAAAACTTGTTGGCTGTCCACTCAAATCCAATCATGGAATACACTATCACACTGTACACCACTGCTTGCACCAAAATGTATGGCACCTCAATCACAATCTGCATGCATGCAAAACAATTAAGTATCAAATTCAAGCTTAGCTTGCTAAAACAACATGGGAAAACGACGCTGGCCAAATTGGTTACGTTTGGTAATCATAATGTTACAAGTTCGATCTACTCTGACCGGAGCGGCCTAGCTATTAGCCTTCTTAATTGGTTTAATTTGAACCTAGACTGATTGGTCCTTTGTTACCCTTAAATAGGGTTATGGGTTTCCCTGGTCACTCAAAAGTTACGTTAAACATGGGAAATTAAAGTACGTACTCTTCAATTCTTTGTTTCTGGATGTGTAAAATAATAATACGTACCATTGCGAAGGCGAAAGGCGTAGCTGCATACATCCCTGCAGCTCTTTCTCTGTAAAACACTGTTCTTTCTACCACAGCTACTTGCTCAACACTGAATGCATTCAGAGTCCCAACAAAGAACACTGAAGCAAACATGGAACCCATGGCATTGAACAAGTCCTGTACCTTATTCCTGCAGATTATTATATATAAGATAGATAGATAGATAGATAGATGTTAAGTCAAACCCAGGGGATCGAGTTCAATATATATATAGCTACCTCCTTGCACCAAGACCCCAGAACATTGTCCCAAACAGCAGTGCAATAAAAATGGTGAAAAGGGCTCTGAGTGCAGTGTATGAGGTGTTATGGCAGTAGGACCATTGATGGTTCTGCAGGCATGCCAAGAATTGAGCTGAGAAAGATTGTGAATACTGAGTTGGAAAACTGAGATCCCTTGAACCTGGAGAGGGTGTGCTCAGTGTTTCAACAAAAGCTTTGTTTCTCCTGCATGCGACCAACATCGATCTTATCAGGCCAGGTAGCCAGCCAGTTTAATTAAATGGTATATATATATATATATATATATATATATATTAATTAAACTTACTTGCACAGTTCTGAACTTGCATAGATCTCACTGAAACTAAGCCCCAGACCCACTTCTTTTTCAGTTGTTGTAATTTCCAGCACCCATGTTGCTGGATTATAACCTTCTTTCATCCCGCTGATGCCTTGGATACTCTACATCGATGAAGATTGAAAACCATATATATTTCTTTAAGTTCATGCATACATATATCAAAAGTGCATGCTCAGATCAGAAACTAACTAACTCGATCACCTCAAAATAGTTGATTAAGTGGCAAGATCGACGCCCGATTGGGCCAAAGTAAATTTCTTGTCCTCCTAGTGCCATTAGCAGCAGCTGCATGCAATAATATATATTACTGATAGGTAAAGCATATATAATTAAGGATACTACTACTTAATTACATACCTCATCAAAAGCTTCAAATATGTGAATGCTTGGCTGGTGGATTGTGCACACAATTGTTCTGCCAGTGTCAACAACGTTTCGAATTGTCCTCATGATGATTGCTGAAGCCCTGGCATCAAGGCCTGTGGTGGGCTCATCCATGAATACTATGGAAGGATTGGCCACCAGTTCTACTGCAATCGTCAGCCTCTTTCGTTGCCCAGTCGACAGACCATTCACCCCGGGTAAACCAACCACTACCTCCCCGAGAGAGGTCAGTTCAACCAACTCCATCACCTCTTTTATGAACACCTACGTTACATACGCCATATATATGAATTAAATTAAAGTTGATCGAGGTGGACTGTACTACTAACTAATTACATACCCTTCTGGTTTCTGAATCAATCTGTGATGGTAAGCGGAGCTTAGCCGAAAAGAGCAAGGATTCATATACTGTAAGGTGGGGAGAGTGGATGTCGTTCTGCTCACAGTATCCAGAAATGCGAGAAAACGTTTTTTGCTTCTTGGTGTAGCCCGAAACTGTGATGTTCCCTGCAATATATCCCCCATTATTTTTCCTCCCTGCCAGGACATCCATCAGTGTAGTTTTACCTGCACCACTCACTCCCATAAGGGCTGTCAGAATGCCCGGCCTGAAAGCCCCACTCACACCTTTCAAAAGCTCCACACGATCTTCCACCGCATTCTTCTTCTTCTTCTTCTTCATCTCCTGTGGCATGTCTACAGAATACTTAACATCACTAAACGCGATCCAGTGGGGCTCAAATGGTAAGATCATTGCGCGCCCTCCTCCTGCACCATTATTGCTGCTATCAGATTCTTCTGAGATAACAACCTGATGAGACTGTGGGAGTGCTGCAGATCAAAGTAGATCGATTAGCAAGGTTAACTGAGATCAAGCAAGAAATCGCAAGGTAGAAAGAAACACAGTATATATGTATGTACATCTGAGTTTTGCAAGGGCTAGAGCATAAAGGAAATTCGCGATAATTGTGAATCCAACCAGTGCCCCTACTCCAACCCAGTACCAGTATGCCTCGGGGTAAAGCCCGCGATACTTGAGCACAAGAACACCAAGTGGTTCTGATGAAGAAAATGGAAGCACCTTTGAAACCCATGCATAAATGTCTGTCAGAAAAGAAAAGAGATGGATAGATGAAGGAAGGTGGAAATGCTACTTAGTACTTACAGTATTCCAACTTGTTCCAAGGAATTCATTTACTGCTATAGCATTCTGGGCATACATCAATGGTGATACCCAACACCCCCACAACCACCATTTCTTCACATCCACTGAAATAATTCCATAGCTGAGGTGTATGTACTGTCTCAATCCATATATACCAATATATATTATTAATTACCTCTTGACAAGACAAATCCACCCAAGGAAAACATCATTAGGATTACAAAAGAACAGGCTACAAATGCGACGGTCATACTCCTACTCACTACTGCAGCACATCTGAATAACGCAGACGAAGTTTGTTTGAAAATCAAGAGTAAAACCCACTGTTTAAACAACCTGCACGCATTCAAACACACAAATTGGACACGAAATTTACTGCAAAACAAAACAATTTGATTGATCTGTTATCAGTAGCAGCAGCTGGCTACCTTTCAACATTTGGATCATAGCCAATGGCATAGTATGTAGAAAACACCCAGATTGAAACTTCAACGAATGATATGGGAATGCTGAGGATCCATATAGGTATTGCATAGGCCGATGCAGGATAAAACGAATGGTCCCTTTGCTTGTAGAAAACAGGAAGCCTCATAACAGTGGGGGCTAACTCTTGTATTGCACTAAACAGGAAGACACTGAGGCTAAAAAAGAGGGACCCCATGTATATCTGTGCCCCCATTACTGAGTTTCTGCTTATATTGGTCTTTGGGAATAGTGTCATCGTAATCACTGCCAAAAGAATCACCTGAAACAGAAGAAGCCATCAGAAAATCAGAAAATAATAATAATTCCAGACAGAAATAGCAAAGTACCGAAGCGAGTCCAAGAAGATAAAGGGCAGAGTTTCTCTTCATCAGTAGAACTTCTCTGAGAAAACAAGATTTCAGGAGCTCCATCTTGCTAACTCCATATGGTTTTGTAGTTATAGCAGCTGGATGACTTGTAGCCTTGGGGAATGGGGTGGCAAGCTCATCTCCTAGGTTGTGCCCAACGTGGAAAGATTGAAATGCTTCAGAGAATTCCTTTACTGTCACAAATCTGTAAGGCTTGTCACTATGGACCCAATACTGCTTTTGATCTTTCTTTGATGTCACCTGCAATCAATCAAATTAAAGAGCATTAATTAATTTCTGTTTTTATCTCTCCGATCCCAACATACACTGCAGCTTTCACTTACTTCTTGCAACAAGTCAGCTACCCCTTTTCTTTCTGGACATCTGAATCCCATACATTCAAAGAATTCAAGCACATAATCGCGTGGACCCTGATACACAATCTGGCCTTCAGATATGAGGATAATATCATCAAACAGATCATAACATTCAGGTGCAAGCTGCAGAAGAGCAATTGCTGCAGTCCCATGGAGAATGTGTACACAATTTCTGATGGATTTTAGGATATGAAAAGTGGTTGAACTGTCTAAACCAGTTGATATCTCATCCATCAAGAAAACATTTGCTGGTCCTACAAGCATTTCCCCTATTGTAAGCCGCTTTCGCTCACCTCCTGACATGCCCCTTAACAGTTCATTTCCTACAATTGTATCCTCACAGCCTTCAAGTCCCAGAATCTATATATGAATTCAAATGAGTATGTAAGAAACGTAACTTCACAGATATCTTTAGTGTTATGAAAGGAAACTATGGTTTCTTTTCTACCTTGATGATGTAATCCACAACGACATTTTCTTGCTGACCATCTGTTGCAGCAGCCTGAATTGAAGCATCAACGTAACACCATTCATTACAACATGTATGTATGTGTGCATATAAAACCGAAAAGAAAGGTAACTTCTTTGCCACCTTCATAAAGATATCTATATCCGGATCTGGCATAATATTTGCTGCTTTTTCTCTTCTAGATAGTTCTGCTAACATTTCTGCAACAAAGAAGCAGACAGCACCAAAGATTAATGTGTTGAGTATTATATGGAACATGGTCTGGTTTCTACAGAAACAGAAAATTAAATTTGTTAAATCAATTTAGTACAATGTGACTCATGCTAACCATATCTGGAGCCAACTCCTTGGCATCTTGCAGAAAAGGCCAGGGTTTCTTTAGCAGTCATTTCTGGAATGTGGAGGTCATGCTGGCTGATGTAAGCAGCAGTTCTCATGGGCACAAATTCATGCATTTCATGCCCATTGTAAGAAACTCTCCCAGAAAACTAACAATAAAAAAGAACGAAGGTATTGATATATAAAATAAAAGATTATCGTATGTAATTCGATCAAGAAACTTGTAGGAAATACTGAAGAAGCTAAGTTGTTCTTTACTTCCAAACTGGGATCAAGCTGCCCTGCCAGTGCCAGCAGAAGAGTGGTTTTCCCTGAACTTGGAGGCCCTAAGAGCAATGTCATTCTGAAAGGCATCCAATAAGTTCAAAAAAGAAGGATTACTAAGTCTCATCAGCTCAGACAAACAGCAAAATAACCAGAAAAACACAATCAACTCAGCCTGCCTGCATTAGTACCTGCCAGGCTTGATGATTCCACTAACATCACGAAGAATCGAAATGTGTTTCTTGTTTGTAGGCAGGTGGAAACAGCTCAATAGCCCCTATTCAAATGCACATGTATCTACCAATGTTAAAATTCAATACAGAGAAACATGCAGAGATAGATTGAATACAGAAATGGCAGCATGCATGCTATACCTCCAGTATGTTCAAGAACAGGTTTGTGATAGAAGGCAAAGCTCTTTTGCCTACATAAGCTTCAACCCCCACATTCAAATGCTCAAATCTTACCTCCACTGTAGGAATATCAAGTGCAACCCTGGTAAATTTAAACAACATGAACTTAAGCTACACCATGCATCATATCAAACCATGACAAAATCAGGCTATTGATTTGGTAACCACAATGTTCCAAGTTCGATTCTTGGTGGGAGTGACCTATTTTCTTTTTTGGTTTGAGCCGATCAGCTATGCACAATCTAGGTTGGTTTTGTGGTCTTTTGCCGGTTAGAGTTACAAGTAGAGCTATCAATACGGGCTGACCAAAAATGCCCGCTCCTTGGCGGGCCTCGGTTTTAAAGGCCCAGCCTGCCCTGACCCGCGGGCTAGGCGGCCCCCAATCATTATTGTGTGGACCGTGGTCCACACAAGTTGTGTGGACCATATTTTGTATATTGTAAAATAATGTACATTCAATACAAAAATAATGTACATACAATACAAAAATAATGTACATTGTATTCAGGGGATGTACATTATTTTTGTACTGAGTGTACATTATCTTGTATAATGTATATTCAGTACAAAAATAATGTACATTTAGTATATTAAAAATGTATATTTTATTATGGTCCACATAACAATGTATGGACCATGTTCCATACAATAATTTGCCAGCGGCCCCCACCATGTTTTTTTTTTTTTTTTTTTTTTTTTTGGATTCTTTAACTCTTAAGTTGTTAGTTTGATACTTTGTCAAGTTTTACCATTTGTACACTTTAAACATATAATTAAAATAACTTGTTACATAACTAAGTTCATCAAACATTAGACATTACATAATAATAATTATAAAGTCCATAGTCTAAAATTTTAAAACATTAAACTAGGGTTATGGTTATTACTTATTAAGTTATAGTTAGATTATATATATATATATATATATATATATATATATATATATATATATATATATATATATACACACAAAAAAGAAATTAGAACTGACAGAAAATTCGGAAATTTTTTACCTAGATTGTGAATTTTTTTGGGAGTATTTGGTAACTAATTTTGATACAAATTTTTCGAGCTATGGAGTTCAACAAGTCTTAGAACATACACAAAAATTTTCATATCAATCCAAGGCGAAGTAATTTTCTTGAACTTTTCCCTTAAACTGTGTCAGACAAAATTTTCTGGACAGCACACTGCCAAGAACTTTACAGAATTTCTTGTGATTACTGAAACATGTTTTCAACACAAACTTGTTTTTTTGGATATAAAGTTATGTAAGTGTAGGTTCTCAAAAAAAAAAAAAAAATCAAGAAAAAGGAGTCTTGGAAGTATTTTTTTCAAATTTATTTTTTCGACTGTGCTAGACAGAATTTTCTCAGCGGTAAAATATTATATAAATATATATTTTATTTTTTAAAAATGTGACGGGCAACCCTCGGGCCTAAATGGGGCGGGCCAAATAAACCGCTACTTAGCGGGTTGCTATTTTCGAAACTGACCCTACTTAAGTATGGGATGAACGGGCCGGACCGACGTTCAAAGTATGTTTTGAAGGTTTTAGATACAATACAGGGTTTACCACTGCAAACCTTCATGTAGGTAGCAGCTGAAGCTAGTTTTTTCACTAAGAATTGAAGGGGACATATACCTACCTGTCAATGCGATCCTTAAGTTTCAATAGGAACTTGTGGTTATCTGTTTCTGGGACTTTGATCAACCTCTCAAGGATTTGTTTCTTGTCTTCATATCTGATGTTGTTTATATGAATTTCACTTGTCTCACCTCTTAGCCCTGTAACTAAGGCCTTCTTCAGGCGGTCATAGGTTGGAACTCTCTGAAGCGCAGCCCACTTGAGTGCCCTTTCTTCATCTTCCTGCACCCGCCGTGATGACGACGATGACTTCACAAACACATCCATGCCACTGCTTATTCTAAAGCTTCCACTCTTCCTATAAGAATCATCAATAATCTCCATTGTAATAGCTTAATTAAGATCATAGCAGAAGATGACAGAATGCATATATATATATATACAACTACGATACCCTGGATAGTGGATAGATTTTAGATTATTCAGTGCATGCATATGTGCCCAAAGACTGCAAACTCATATTTATAACTTGACAGAAGCTGGGGATCAATGAAAGGGACTCCTCAGCTCGTATAATACTGACCGTCCCAGCAGGATGTTCTAGCATTTCCAGAACACATTAAATACAGCACTCTTGCACCGTATCTGTACGTAAGTTTAACATTATTAGGTGCACTCACCTTTAGACATTCTATGACGAAACATGATACGCACAAGCAGCTAGATTATAAATCAATGTAGTAACTTTTTGTGAGCACCCAATACTGGTGCAATGTGCAAATTATACACTATACCGGAGTTCATAGAGTTCATCTTACATTATGAACATGTCCCAAAACTAATTGTTATACCATGTAACATAGTAGGGATGGCAAAAGGGATGGGGAATTAAAAATAATTCTCTTCCCCATCTCGGCGGGGACGGGATTTCCCCATCAACTCTTAGTCAAAATTTTAAATTAGTGTAATTTTTAATTTTAATAACTAAAAACATAAGTCTTAATTTTAATAAATTAATATATATATATATATATATATATATATATATATATTATAATAATAATAATAAATTAATAAGGAATAAGGGTCAAATTGGCCACTGAACGTAACCTGAAAATGCAATTAGGCCACTGAACACTCCAAATGTATGCAATTTCACCAGATAGCAGGTTACCATCAATTTTAGCAGGTTACCTACTTACGTGGAAGCTGAGTTGGCATTTTTAATAATTTTTAAATAATTTTTAATAAATTTTAATAATAAATTTAAAAAATTAAATAAAAATAAATAAATAAATAAATAAAACGACGGGGTGGCCGCCGTCATTTTTTATATAAATTTTTAAAAATTTTTATTATTAAAAATTATTAAAAATGTCAACTCAGCTGCCACGTAAGCAAGTAACCTGCTAAAATTGATGTTAACCTGCTATCAGGTGAAATTGCATACATTTGGAGTATTCAGTGGCCTAATTGCACCTTTTTTTTTTTTTTTTTTTTTTCGTTTAGTGGCCTAATTGCATTTTCAGGTTACGAACGTTCCGTGGCCAATTTGAATCTTATTCCAATTAATAAGTATTCCAAAAAAAAAAAAGAAATTAAAAAATAAAAAATAATAATAAAAGAGAGAGAGAATGGTTATAAATGGTTATAAATACCACCTATCTTAACAACACAATATCACCCATTGCGGCAATGCTGATGAACACAAATACACAAATACGAAAAACGTTACTGCTTTGTTTTCATTTCATCATGAAGGTTATTCTGCAGTTGTTTTCATTTCATCATGAAAAAGACGATAAACAAGAAATTAAAAACGACGAATTTAAATTGATTCTTTAAAGTTCAATGTATGAGTCAATATTTGTTGTGATTATTATTTAGCATTTTCTTTTTTCGTAACACATGTTTATTTTTGCTTTATAGTTATGATGAGTTCATGCGAGAGGTGACCCATTGTTGAACTTCAATTAACACCCGAAAACAGTACATGTCTTTCAACTTCAATTAAAACTTGTGACATATTTTTATATGAAATAAGGTGCAAATAGACCATTGAACTAAACACAAAAATGCAATTGGACCATTGAACTAAAAAAAGTTACAATTAAGCCATCGAACCACTTAAAATGATGCAATTGTACCAAATAACAAGTTACCTTGCTTTATCACCGGTTACCTTGCTTACGTGACACTAATTTATATTATTTTATTATAATTTTTTTTTAAAAAAAAAAACAAAACAAAACAAAAAAACAGCCATCGATCGAAAAAGTCGGTCTCCGTCGGAGACCGACAGTCTCTAGATCCATGGAGACGAAGAAGTTCGTCTCCATGGATCTGGAGATGAAGATCAATGGAGACTGAACTTTGTCTCCATTGATCTTCTTCTCCATATCCATGGAGACGAAGATGCTTCTTCGTCTCCATGGATATATCAAAGTGTCCAGATCCATGGAGACGAAGAAGCATGCATCTCCGTCTCCATGGATCTGGAGACTGTCCGTTGGTCTTTGATCGGAGACCGGTCGAAGGCAGCGTGGCTTTTTTTTTTTTTTTAAAGTTTTTATAATAATATAATATAATTTTTTTGAAAGGAAACAACGATTTCATTAAAACTAAATGGCCTCAGCCAAGATTACATTAGAAATAAGGGGATGAGGAAAAACAATCCACTCGCTACAACCAGTGTTGAGCACGACGTCTTTAGCCAACAAATGGGTTACCGTGTTCACGGATCGTTTAGCAAATAAAAAGCTAATGTTAAGAAAAACATTAGCTAGGATCTGAATGTCACTAATAACAAGGTCGAAATAGGAGTTACAGTTTAAGTTCTTCGGACCTTGAATCACAATCTGTGCATCCGACTCTACACACACCATGCGAATGCCATTCTGAATTAGCCACGAGAGCCCTTCTCTTAAAGCAAGGGCTTCTGCTGTTAAACATATGGCTTGAATTAGTCACTAGCAGTTCTGTTGTTTACTCTTTCGTTAGCCTACTATTATGCTTCTGTTACAACTTCTCATGTAAAGCTCTATTTATACCTCCATTGTAAAGTTATAATCTACATAATTATTCTATCCTCACATGGTATCAAGAGCTAGCAAAATTCTTAGTTTTTTTTCCTCTCTCCCTAGACTACATAATGTCCACCACAACTAAAACACCTGAAATCCCCATAATTCAAATTACTGCTCTTGCAAATTTCCCCATTAAACTTACTTCCTCCAACTTTTTAGTTTAGAGACGTCAAATCCAAGCCACTTTAATCGGCTTTAATTTATTAGGCTACATTGGTGGGGAGTACTGTCGCCCCATCCTAGTTTTCCGATGCTGCGAAAACTGTACCAAATCCTAGCTACACAACCTGGTACCGTCAAGATCAGATTATCGTCAGCGCTCTCCTTGGAAGCTGTTCTGACCCTATTCAGCCACTCATTTCTTCAACTGACACCTCACGGCAGGCTTGGGAATCCTTAATGGCGAGCTTTGCGAAAACCTCACGTGGGCGCATTGTCTCACTTAAGTCCAAGTTAGCACGCAATCCGCGAGGTAGTCAGTCCATTGTGGATTATCTCAAAGACATGAAGGCCATTGCCGATGATCTGGCTATCGCACAGTGCCCGGTGTCTAATGAAGATCTTACGATTCACATCCTTACTCATGTTGGTGAAGAATACAATTCGGTTATGTCAGCTATACGTGTCCGAGAGTCCTCGTTGTCTCTCTTTGAGCTCTCTAAGATCCTCACGGATCATGAGCATTTGTTAAAAGAAGCAAATGAGTCCCGACAAAGTATCATTGCCACTGCGAATGTTACTCAGCGGTCCTCCAACAACGGACGATCGTCTCAAGGTAATTCTTATCCTAATCGTCGCAATCGTAGTCAGTCTGCGAATACCAATGCCCGATTGCCATGGCAAAATTACAACAATGGCCGCCCCTCTCAAAATGGTTTGGTGTGTAAATTCTGTAATATTCCCGGACATGAGGTACGTTATTGTCGTAAACTAATAAGGTTTTTGAAAGAAAATAACATCAGTCATGTTCCGTCTGCGAGTGCCAGCCTAGCCCCGTCTGTCAATATGTCCACGGCACAACCAGTGCCGACACACCCGTGGCTATTTGATAGTGGTGCCTCTCTCCCGGACCCTTCTACAGTTGTTGATCCTACAGGTTTTTGCAAACTTATTGGCATGTTGCAATATTTAAGCATTACTCGTCCAGATGTCTCGTTCGCCGTGAACCGTTTGTCGCAGTTTATGCATGCACCATCTGCAACCCACTGGTCTGCCGCGAAGCGTGTTCTACGCTACCTTAAGGGTACGTTGTTTCATGGACTACTACTCAAAGGTAAAACTACCTTTCAGGTCACCGTCTTTTCGGATTCTGATTGGGGTGGTTCTAATACCTTGGGTCGTTCTACCACTGCGTATGTTTTGTATCTTGGTGGTAACATTGTTTCTTGGAAGTCGATGCGTCAAAAGTCAGTTTCTCGTTCTTCCACTGAGGCGGAGTATCGTGCCCTTGCGAATGCTACTACTGAGGTTCTATGGGTTCAGCATCTTTTACGGGAGCTACGAGTGCCTTTGTGTGGCACTCCTGTGTTGCTTTGTGATAATCTGAGTGCTACATATGTCTGTAAAAATCTTGTGTTCCATTCTAGGATGAAGCATCTTACCCTTGACTTTTTCTTCGTTCGTGAGTTGGTGGTTTCTAGGGCCTTGGTTGTTCGTCATCTTCCCTCAAAGGAACAACTTGCAGATATTCTCACGAAGCCGCTTGGTCGTGTGTCCTTTCAGCTATTCCTGTCCAAGATCGGAGTCTCTGACGGATCCTCCATCTTGCGGGGGCATGTTAAACATATGGCTTGAATTAGTCACTAGCAGTTCTGTTGTTTACTCTTTCTTTAGCCTACTATTATGCTTCTGTTACAACTTCTCATGTAAAGCTCTATTTATACCTTCATTGTAAAGTTATAATCTACACAATTATTCTATCATCACATCTGCTACCTTAGGTTAGAGGAGACCTTGAACAGAAATACTCTTAGCAGCAACAAAATCTCCAAGATGATCCCTGAGGATAAAGCCGAAACCAGAAGACTTTGATTGAGGATCAATTGCAGCGTCACTGTTGAGCTTAAGCTAACCCAGAGGAGGTCTCTCCCATTTATCTTTCTGCTTCATGATGGCCTTAGGAGGGTCAGGGTCATGCATCTTTTGCCTTATAAAAAGAAAGGATTTTGCTTCCTCCAGGACTGAGATATGCATAGATTTGCAGCCATTCCAAACTCTTCTGTTACGCTCAGTCCAGATCATCCATGTTGTCGTAAAGATGAGGCAACAAAAAGGAGTGTCCATGGTCTTAAAAAATGA